TGCCACCGCAGTAGGTCCCAATAGGGCAGTCCTGCAGTCCCTGGGCACATGTCACAGCAGCCCTGGACATCAATCACATGTGAGGAACAAATGGCCAGGACAATTCAATGACCATCCCCCGCAGCTACAGTTATTTGGGGCCATGTCTAAGCTTGGAGAATTTAGGGGAAAATTAGTTTATGGGAGAGAGGAACGCCGGGAGCTCCGGGAATGGTGCTGCCACTTCCTCTGCTGGGTCAGGAAGTGCTAAAGCTGCCTGTACTGCAAGGTTTCGGTGCTGCTGGCAGATGGAGGAGGTGGAGGCAGCAGGGTCAGGAGTCCCAGGGCAGGACCATGCTTTGCTCACCCTAACTCAGCCCCCAGGAGCCCCATTCTGCTCCCAACCCTCGCCCACCCCCCGCTGCCCTGGGGGGTCCCCGTGACAGCCGGACCCCACGCAGCATGTGCTCAGCATTGCTGCTTGTCAGCGAGCAGGAGCTGGGGGTGGGCTGGAAACAACAGCCATATGTCAGAGAAGGCTGAGCGAGGAACACGATGTTTTCTGCTAGGGGGTGAATCAGTACGAGAGCCTGATCATCTTCTCCTGAATTAATTAAATAGCAATCCGGTGTATCTGTGCTTTCAGAACTGCTCTTCCCTGCTCCTCAAAGCACCGATGGGGATCCCAAACCCTCAGCAGCCCCCCCCCGTTGCCCAGAACACCCAGTGCTACCGCGTCCCCTCCTGCAGCAGGAAGAAGGATACTCAATCAGCACTTTGGAGCCAAACCTTCCTACCAGCAAGCTCCTGGCACCAGGGCATCTTCTGCTGAAGCCGGGCTCGGGCTGTGCTCTCCCTGCGTCCCTCTGTCCGTCCCAATTATCGACTGACACAAGTTCTGAGTAACCAGAGCCGTAAGAGGCACAAAACCCATCCCCTCCCCTCCCTGAAACCCAATGCGGGTGGATGCCAGTGGTGCTGGGCCAGCCAGGAATGGGCGCTGAACTTTGCCTGAGTGCCCCACGGGGTGAAGGCTGAGCCATCCCTGCTGCTGTGCGCTGAGCCCCCCAACACCTCCCCTTGTCCCCAGCCCAGTGATGGCCGTGGGGTGCAAGCTCAGCGTCTCCTGATACAGCCACCGTGACAGCTATATTGAGCAGGGATGAGCCCTGCTCTGCATTCGGTGCCTCTGAGGACACCAGGGATTGAGCTACAACGACTGACCACCCCCACAAGGCTGGGGAACACCTCCATGGTGCGGGAAGGGGAGCAGCATCAGGGCTGGCAGCCTATAAATAAGCGAGGCTCGTCTCCCTTCGGTAACCATCCCAAAGCTGATATGTACGAGCCCCAGCTGCCTCCGTCCCACCGCTGTCTCATGGAAGAAGCATCCGGACCGGGGCCGCAGCGATGGCAGCTGGTGCTGTCACTTGCCGGGGGAAGACGAGGGCAGCGGGCACGAAGCCCGCCTGTGGGGTGCGGTGTGGGTCCGTAACGGGGCGAATGGGGCTGAGCGCTGCCACTCGCCTCCCCCTGCGTCACGGCGCTGGCACAGTCAGACAGACAGACGGCCGGGCGGACGCACCGCCCCGGCATCGCGCTGCTGTAACGCTGCCCTCTAACGGTCGCATTCCGCTCCACGTCCCCTCCGGTCCCCTCAGCTTTTTGATTTTGGGGGCTCACCTGGACGTGAACCATCCCGCACGCCCCGCAGGCTTCCACGCAGCTCCCCGGCAGCAACGTGCAAAGGGTCCCGCGGCTGCTCCGTCCCGACTCCGTCCTTCGCTGCGGGGATGGGGAGGGGGAAGGGGACGAGGGTCCCCCTGGGATGCTCTGCTCCGCCAGCGCTGGCTCTCAGCCCGCCCCACTGCTGGGGGAATAGCAGCCCGGGGACCTGCAGCCACCAGCTCCGTGGCCGTAATCCTCCTGTCAGCCTCCCCCTGTGCGCTGGCGGGTCACCAGGGGAGGGGATTAGGGAGATAAGGGGAAAGCTCTGCAGCACGTTCCCATTGCCTGCCCGTGCCCCAACCGTCCCCCTGCCACTGCCCCATGTGCCACCATGTCCCCAGCTGGCACGTCCTCACGTGAAACACCGAGCAGCAGATCCAGCACCAGCATTAATGAACACCCCAACATGCTGTCCTGCTTTGGCTGAGGCAGCAAGCTGTGAAATCCAGCAGTGCTCCCAGGTATTTGCATCTGCATCCCCAGGAAGGGGCTCCCACAGCCCAAGGGCTCTTTGGTGGTAAAGATCCCTTTTAGGGCACAATTTAGAGGTCAGACAGTTGGGCTAGATGATCTCTGATGGTCCCTCCCAACTGAATTTCTCCTCTCCTCCCCTCTCCTTCCCTTTTATTCTCCTCATTCCCTTCCCTTCCATTTAAAATCAGTTTCATCCTATCCTATCCTATCCTATCCTATCCTATCCTATCCTATCCTATCCTATCCTATCCTATCCTATCCTATCCTATCCTATCCTATCCCATCCCATCCCATCCCATCCCATCCTGTCCCATCTTATTCCATTCCATTTCTACCCTATTCTATTCTGTTCCATCCCATCCCACCCCATTTCGTTCCATTCTATCCTGTTCTAAATTCCCGTCCATTCTAATTCCATTCAATTTCATCCTATCCTACCCTACCCCATCCTAAATCTCACACCATGGGCACGCACAGCACAGCTGCAATTCTTTTTTAACCCTGCAGAACATCTCCCCATCCACAGCCCCAGCAGAAGACGAGCTGTTTGCAGGCAGGCAGCTCCCTTTGGGCTATGGAAAAATAATACGGTATGAGAACATCACGTAGCTCTTGTTTCTCTAAATAGTTTATTTTTTCCACTGCCCCACAATGGCCCTGGTATTGCCTCTCTTCCTATTACTCTTTGTGTCATAAGCAGTTAATTATTCATCCCCTTGTTGCACTGCTGCTCTGCTCCCACCTCCTGGTGCAAATGGCTTCAGCTCCAAACTTGGGCTGCAATCAAAGAGGACTCAGCAGGAATGAGTTCCTTGCACAGCACAAGCCACGTGCCAAATGCAAGAAATTTAGGCTGTGGCTGCTCAGATTAATGACCTGCATGGCTCCTGGCCCTGGCCCTGGTCTGGGTGTTGATGCTACCGGGGTTGGGGGGGGGTCAGCTGCAGCTGTAGTTCTGCTATGGGGACAGATACCCACAACCCAGAGGTGCCCCATCTCTGTGCCACCGTCACAAGGGAGCAGTGCTGGATCTGCCACCAGCACAGCTGCACTTACAGCTATGGAGCAGGAAAAGACAAGGGAAAACAAAAAGTATCTCTGTGATCCTTTCTTCATTCCCTCACAGAGCAACACGGGTCTGCAGGTCAGACTTCCCTCTCGGATGCTTGGAGCCAAGGAGGAGCAGCTGGAGGGGGGCACAATGCTTCCACACCCTGCTGGGTCTCCTCCACTCTCCCACCCCCAGGCTCTGCCCAGCCACTTCCATCCTATTACAGAGCTATTCCTGGCCATGCCAAGCACCTTAGCCCTGTGCTGCTGCCTCCTTCCCAGAGCCACCACACCTCCTGTCCCTCTTTTAGAGCATCAAAACCTCAATACCCCACTTGGCTGTGTCACCAAGCCCTACAGCTTGGCTAATGCACTGCTGTACCTTCAGGCAAATCACAGTGATTTCTGACCCCTCTGGGCTGCAGCGAGCAGACACTGCTGACCTCTATAGACCAAAAATCCCTGCATACCACTGCCTCTATTTCTGAACTCTTTCCTCGTTATTTGATGGCCATAGCCCACCCAGCACAGCTCTGCCATTCACCTCAACCTCGGTGCGCCGTGCTGCCACGGTAATCTCAGCTCTTTCATAATTAACAGGGCTAAACACTGGATGGAAATAGCATCCTCCCTATTAGCTATGCACAGAGTGGTTTAGAAATCATGTTGGGGGAGTGGGGGGGTGATCTGCAGCCTTGCTGTGCTGTTCCCTTCTCACTGTGCCCCAAGCATGGGCACCAAGTTTGCTTCTTCCTGCATCCATCACTACACCTTTCTGTTCACTGGGAATACACCAGCTGCTCTCCTTGCTGTCTTTCCAAAGCTGGGTTCATTTTGGCTCTGTCCTGCTGCTGGCAGACACAGCTTTGCTTTCACACCTGGTGGAGGGAAGATCCTATGGAGGAATTGGGACTTTGTCCCCAAACCCAGGTGAGATGTGACCCATGAAAGAAAGGGGATTTTGTCCCTAAGTTCAGGTGGGATGTGGCACCTGCTAGCTAAAGGAAGAGACCAGGAGCTGGATGTGCTGCAGCATACTGGAATGGTTAACAGAGGGGATCTGGGGTTGTTCCCCAGCTCTGGAAGCTCATTCTCTAAATGCATTTGTATAATCAATAAATGTGAGGGTCTAGGAGAGGTGCAACCAGGCTCCACTCCTTCCAACAGTGCAGATGAATTACCTTCACCTGTGCTCCCATGGCTGACTTATTGCTTGCCTCAGAGGTTCAGGCTGTGATTCAGCAGTTCCTATACAGCATCCATGGGCTGGGATGTGTGGCTGAGCATCAGCATCCCTCATCTGACCTCAGTGTGCACCGTGCTCACCCCTCTCTGGGTTATCAGCAGGTTCAGCATCTGATGAGCAATTAATAAGGTGGGCAAATACCTGCTGACTTACCCCTTAGAGCAACAGATGACCAGCTCAAATGAGAAACTTCTCTTGAGATAAATCAGTGTCACTGGTCCCTGAATCCTTCCTGCCACAGCTCTTCCAGGGGAAAACTTGAGCACAGGAGAGGAAGAGGTGGCATCATTGCGTGGCATCAAAGCGATCTGAACTTTGCCAGGTTCACTTCTGTGCTTCTCAACTCAACTCCAGGCTTGGAATTCAGCACATCCCTGCCTTCTTCAACCCCACGAGGAGCACAAACCCCAGCAGCAGCCGGGAGGGATCTGCGCTCTGCAAACCCAATACACCAGGAGCAGATCCACCCTCATCTCTATGGCTCTGTACCCTCCCCCAACCATCCCATAATAATAATCCCTACCTTATCAGCCAGGCTCTCACTGTCCTCAGTGAGCAGATAGACGGCCCCGCTCTCAGCCAGCAGGATGGCAGTGTCAGTGGTGGAGGACGACCTGGGCCGACCCTGATGCTGATGCAGGATGGCGGTGAGGCTGCTGTCCTGGGGAGCTTTTCGGATGAGGTGTGGGCTGCCCTTCTGGGGGTCCAAGGAGCCACTCTTGGCCCTCCGGCTTCCACTGTGAAGGCTGGTGCCACGCTTGATGGAGGGACGGGAACGGATCTGCTGCAGCACCCGGTTGAAGGCGGTGGGACGCGCTGGGAGGTCGTGCAGGGAAACGGCGTAGGAGACGCGGTGCATCTCCGGGGAGCGCTCCTTCTCGTCGGGGGATTCGTGGTCAGACAGCCCATAATGAGGTGGCAGTGAATCCTGTGAGTTCTGGTGCTCGCGTTCCCTTGACCGCCGGCGGCTGTGGAAGAGGTGCTTCAAGCCGTGGCCGAACATGGAGCCCTCAGACAGCTGCTGGATTTTCTGCAAGGAATGAGAGGAGAGAACGTCCTGTTATTGTCCAGAAGGATGGCATCAGCTCGCTCCCATGGCTGTGTTTCAGCAGTTGGAGGTTACAGAGACAAGTGATAAATGTCCCTTGGGGGTGTCCCCAGACAGTGCTCACACCAGCGCTGCGCCAAAACGTGATGTGTGAGGGCTAAGAGCTTCTGGGGGGGGTGGGACCCCCATTTTCCAAAAGGACCTGCGTGGGGGAGCCAGCACAGCTGCAGGCACCCTGAGCGAGTGCTAAACATTGAAGGTGTGCAGAGCTGGGGACACGCAGGGTGGCTCAGGATGGCTCAGGGCTGCAGCTCCAGCAGCACCCATACAGGTCTCTGAAGGAGAAGCAAAAGCATGCAGAAAGCCACACAAACCTCCAAGCAACCCTAAGGGCAGCATGTTTTTAGTAGGAGAACCCACGGTCCCCCCCCAGCCCCACAGCATCAGCCCCAGCATGCAGTAGGGATGGCACCTCTCCTTTGGTCTGGGTGCTGGAACAAATCTACTGCTGATTGTGGCCAGATAACTCCAGAGCAGTTCCCCAGAGTCACTACAGTGCCTGGACAGCATCCCCAGGAGATGGGCACTGTGGGTCTCCAGACGACGATCCTGGCTCTATTGAGGTTCAGGGGAATTTTGCTGCTGATGCAGTGCAGCAGAGATTTCTCCCCAGGGAAACTGATTCCCGTAATTGGAGCACTGTCATTTACTCATGCTTGAAAACAAGCATGCAGGGAGCTACTTATAGCTTTTGTGGCCACTTGGCAAAAGCACTGGTTTCTGAGATGTGACCTTTGGGAGCCACAGACGACCACGGGGCTTCACATCCCTACAGGAGGGACCCCATCTCCTAAGCCTGCAGATATGAAAGCCCAGCGTCCACGAGGGGCTCATTCTCATCACACCTACAGGATGCACAGGGGATCACAGAACCACAGGATCATGAAGGCAGGAAAAGGTCTCTCGGATCACCCAGTCCAACCCCAATCCATCCCACTGTCCCCATTGACTGCGGCACCTCCAGGGTGACCCCCTGTGACCCCCTGTGACAGTGACCCCCCCCCACCTCCCACCAGGGCAGCCTGGTCCAGTGCTGACCACTCTTATTTCTTATCATCCAACCTGAAATGGGGGTGTTACACAAGCACTAAACACTACAGGGAAAACCTTGAATCCTTCCATTACCCGTTCATAATGAAAACGCATGCCCTCCTGGTTCTTCCCAAAAAGTCTGTAACGAATCCCCAACGCTGGATTGCTACTTGGGGAAATTGTGATTTAGATTTTATTCTATTTATAGTGTCTCTATGGAAACAGAGGCAGCATTAGGTGGGTAATAACCACAAAGCTGTGGATTTCTGTCACCAAGGGTACGACGTAGCCTCAGATGCACAGTTTGCCCTTTAGGAAGTCCAGGTGGAAAGGAACAAGCAACGCCTTTCCTTGAGGGAAAAAGAAACAAAACAAAGGGAAAGGTGCAATAAAGACATTCTATAGCAGCTGCATTGGGTGGAAGCCAAAAAAAAAAAGGGGAAAAAAAAGGAAAAAGAGGCCAAAAGAAGGGAGCAGGATCCTGGCATTGCTGGGCTGTGGATGTAGGGCTCGCTGAACTGTGGACCTGTTGGCAATGAAGAGTGGTCCCTGTGAACACGCTGCTGCTCTGCAATACTTATTGCTGATGTAAAATCTCTGTTTTTCTTGTGTTGCTCCGGGATGTGACTGCACTTCCACAGCAGAGGCATTTTTCTGGCACAGAGCTGCTTGTGGCTCGGAACAGATTGTCTACATGGGCTATTTTGGAACTGCCATTGCTTAATAACTGATGCAATGGATATGGAGGTTAATCTTGCTGTGCAGGCAGCTGTAAACCACCAAGATTATTACCAGAATACACATATACACGTATTTATTAACACAGGTAAGGTCTCCTAGTGATGCCAGGATCTGGTTTCCATGGACTGCAGAGGAGCAGCTCCTGGCTCACATCCCCGTGCCAGCGGATCAGACCTGGGGTATCAGCTGGGTTTGGCACAGAGGAACCTCGTGGTCCATCACCAAAGGTTTTCCAGCTCTTTGATGGGCCCTGCCCTGACATTTAACCCCCATTCCTCAGGTTTCAGATGCACAAGGCGGGGATCTTATCACCATGACCGTATAGCAGAGCCACGCGCCAGGTTCAATTATTATTATTATCACTATTAATTATGCATATCCCTGGCATGCCCAGAGGCTCCAGCCAATATTCTGCAGCCCATTGGAGGCATTGCATAAAGAGAGTGGAAAACTACCCCGCTGCATCCCATTGCATCCCACTGCATCCCATTGCATCTCATCCCATCCCACAACACCCAGCACCTCAGGGCACCAGGGGAGGACAGGACCCCTCGGCCACAAACATATAGATGTTCTACAATGGAAAATAAAGCACTCCCCCCCCACGCTTCTCCTCTTGGGGACAGGAGGAGAGAACAAACATGTGACAAGTGTTAGTCATGTTGCTCCGTGCACTACCGAAGTGCTGTAGTGATGTGCACTGCCTGCAAGCAAATCTGCACCTTTGGCTGCAACTACCAGGTGCTGCTGCAGCTGAGGAGCTCCGGACCCCAAATCTATAGGGCATGGAGAGGAGCTGGGAGTCACTGAATGATAGCACGGAGGGCATCAGCCTGTGGCTGTCACCTCTGCATTGCTGTTATCAACCGCAGGGATGCTGAAAGAATGCTGGGGTCCTTGCTGCAGCATCTGAACATCTCCTGCATGGGAAGATGCTCTCCTTTGGGGGGGCTAGGGGCTTAGCAATCAGCCCCCATGGGGCATGAGGAGCTGTTGGGGTCCTTGGCATCACCCTGGGAGGTGTGGGTAAGCGATGCCCTGGGGAGGTGATGGATGGAGCTGCTTTCGTGTCCACGCTGCTGCTGGAGCTGCCTGACAGCAGCTCTGCTCTGGCAGCCACAGGGGATCCATCTCACCTTGGCGGTGTCCTTTTAAGACCAAAATACGCTTGGAAAATTGTTCGTGCGATGGATTAAATAGAAATGTACCAGCGGGTTGAGAATAGGTGGCTGGCGACCTTTATGGAGAGGAGTTGTCCTCTGCGGCCTGCCTGCGAGGTTCAAAGCTCAGCCCACCACAATCCCACCCCACTGCTCATGCCAAGGCCCCCAGGGCTGCATGGTGGGACCCCCTGGATGGCTGCTCCCCATCACACGGGGTTGGGTCAGGCCCAAAGAAGGGGAAAGGCTGAGGACAGCACCGTGGGGTCATCGCTGCTCTCAGCTTTCGGGTTCAGAGGAAGGAAAAGCTGGGGCAGCGCAGATGGAGATGGTGAAACTGGAGATGGAAACGATGCCAGGTTTCAGCTTTCAGCCCTCTGACAGATTGGACCATTTGGGAAAATAGAGAGAAATACACCCAGATCTGAGATGCCTGGGGACACAGGAGTGGGAGCTGAGCTGTAAGTGCCCCTGTGCAGGGACTGGTGAGCCCAGAGCTGCAGCCAGGAGGCTGCAGTGTTTGTATGGCTCCAGCCACTCTGCTGCAGAGCAGAAATCTCCGCCACCCAACATATTTTTAAGCAAAACTATGTGTCATGCATCTGCTCTGCTCCTTGCCAGAACTTTTCTTTTCTTTTTTTTTTTAAACCTCTTTTTCCCTAATGGAGCCTTTGCTCTTAGCACAGGACTTGGGGTTGGGGAAAGGTAAGCTGTTGGAGATATGCTGGGGCTTGGGGATGGGCACAACACAATGCAGCTCTTTGTTTCCATGTTCCCAGCTCAAAACTGTCCCAGCATACAGAAGTTCACACCTGAGGCTCCTTCACTGCCCACTGGGAGCTGAGTGTGGGGCTGTGAATCTGGGATTGGGCACCAGCCTGGAACAGCTCCAGAGGGACCTGGGGCAGGAGAACTTCCAGATGACTCCGCTTCCTAAAGATGCCACTAATGGCAGCAGTAGGAATTGGTGGTGTTGGTGGAAGGGCCAGCAGTGAGCTCCCTTTGGGAGCTGCGGGCAGCACCAGGACGCAATTTTTCCTTCACAAAGCACATTTGAGGATTGACTCCATACAGGCAATTAATTATTGGGCTACAAATGCGTTACGGGGAACATCAAGAGGTAAACCTGCATTTGGGCACCGTGCTTGCATCAATAAAATCAATGGCAGCCTGGTCACTGCCATGAGCTGGATGTGGCTGAAGATGGGCTGAGCTCCAGCTCAGCACTGGATGCGCATCTGAGGGATGCAGGTGGATTCCTGGGGTTGTTTGGGCAGCGTGGGCAGCTGCTGGGACTGCTTCACCCCAGCATCATCATCACTGTAGGGACATGCTCATCCCAGGGGCATCTCCATCCCAAGAGCATCCCCAAACTGAGAGCATCGCCATCGTGGGACCATCCTTAGCCCTGGGAGCATCGTCATCCCAAGAGTATTTTCATCCCAAAAACAAACCCATCATTGGATTGTCCCCATTGTGTGGCCATCTGTACTGTTGGGGGTCTCCATGGTGGAACCATCCCCATCATGGGACCAATCCCATTGTGTGGCCATCCCTACTGTTGGGCCATCCCTGCTGTTGGGCCATCCCCATCGTGGAAACATCCCTATTGTGGGACCACCCCCACTGTGGGACCATGGGACCACCTCCATCGTGGGACCATCCCCATCATGGGACCAATCCCCATTGTGTGGCCATCCCTACTGCTGGGCCATTCCCACTGTGGGACCATCCCTATTGTGGGACCATCCCTATTGTGGGTCCATCACCACCGTGGGACCAATCCCATCGTAGGGCCATCCCTCATCCTTCAAGGTGACACCTGTGGCAGCACGGGGACCACATGCTGGTGTCATTGGCACCCACCATGCCACACATCCCTCCAGCACCCCCACACCCCAATGCCAGGCTCACAGGTCACTGCCTGCCCCAATAACCCCACGGTTACCCTACAGACAGTCCCAGCAATAACCTGCAGGGACCCTCAGCCCCTCCATCTCCCTCCCGTTGCTCACCTTCAGGTCGGGGGGCTTGGAGCGCGGCGGGGGACCACCACCACCCGCCTCCGGGACCACCGCCGCCTCCCCGGTTTTAGCTTCCATGGCTGCAGCTCCGTGCTGCTCCCCCGCGGCCCCGTGCTCCTCTTCGGGTTGCTGCAGCTCGTCCGAACGGCACCGCTTCATACCGCCGCTCCTCGCCCCCGGGATGCGGGGGCTTCTACGGCCGCGGTGGCGGCGGCGGCGGGCGGCGCCCGGGCGGCCGCTGCGGAG